CGTCGCAGATCAGATCGCATGAATATACTCCAATCACCTTCGCGAAGTCTGGACAACAACGAGAGTTTTCTGGCATCGCCCACGACCTTTGCCTCGACGAGTTTGAATATGCTGGAAGGCCCTAAGTCGCGCGACCGCTTGCTTGCGAACCTTCAGACGATTTCGCATCTGCTGCAGCGGAGGTCCTCGGTGTCGCGAACTCCTGTTTCGCGAAATGCCAGGCGCGTTTGAAAATGTTTGCCCCGGCGGTCCCCGCCACCGCTGGCTTTGTGCTCCTCACGATGGAAAGATTAAACAACTTGCACCCCATCAAAACGAAGCGAAATGTACCCAAACACACCCAACCTAGCTCGGCATCAACCGTCAGCAGAAAAGCAGGTTCAGAGAAATTCTACCTCCCCTTGCTGGGTTCTTCTCCTTCCCCGTTCAACCTTCAGGAGCCATCAGTGCGCAGCGGCAGCTAATCCATCACTACTCCAGCTTCTTCCCATTTCCATGGCGCGGCGACGCGACAAACTTTGTCCGAAGCGCTCTTCTCGTCCGTTACGCCATCCTCACGACATGGGAGGTGGGGTGAGGCCGAGGCGCCGCGTCGTCGTGATCGCGAGGCACGTGAGAGGCAAACATAACGCCTCTCCTGTCGTAACGACGACGACGACGACGAGATTCGGTACTATAAAGTCCGCCGCAGGAGCGCAATGTAGCATGCTTCATTACTCAGCGCTCTAGCATTCGACTACCCTCTCTCGAAAGTCTTATCGATTCGGAGTGGCACTCACAGCACCACCTGTCTGCATATTTCCCCCCGCGACTAGTCCACTCATATCTTAACTAGTCGTCGACTCCAACTGTTTGGAGTAGCTCTCTCGAGTAGTCGTCGGCGCCATCATGAGTCGCGCACTTCTCCTCCTTATCGCGCTATCCGCGTTATTAGCAGCAGCCGGCGTGGCTGCGACTAAGCCCTCCGGCTCTGGCGGAATCGCCCTCCGCGGCGGCAGCGGCGGCGGCGGCGGGAAAAGAGCCGGAGTGGCTAGTACTACTAGAGGAAGCGCCAATGTAACCAGCGCTGCTGGCGGTGGGAAGGGCAACGCAACAGCAGGAGTGAAGCGCGGTGGCAAAGTCGGCGTGTTGTGCGGCGAGTGCAGCAAAGGAGGATCCTCCGGCGGCGGCGCATCTCGCGGCGGAGGAGGGGGCGCGGTCGCGACGATCATCATGGCTCGGGAGGGTCGCACGGTGGGTCGCATGATGACGAGTCGCACGGCGACGGTTCGTACCACGGGCGCGGGCGCGACGAGGAGCAGGAGGACGAGGAAGACTCGGAGGAGGAGGAGCAGCGAGGCGGCAGTCATCGTGGTGGTGGCGACTGGGATTCGGCGGATGAGGAATCCGAGGATGACTCGGATTCAGCCGAGGCTGACGACGATGAGAGCGGTCACGGGCACGGAGGCGGGCGCGGAGGCTGGCACGGGCGTGGAGGCGGGGGTGGGCGCGGAGGAGGGCACTCGCACGACGAGGAGGAGGAGGACGAGAGCGAGGAGGTGGAGGATGATGGGGAGGATGAGGATGAGGATGAGGACGAGGGTGGTAGGAGCCATGGCGGTCACGGCGGGCGAGGAGGCGGGCGCGGGGGAGGGGGCAGCTGCGGCGGGCTGTGCGACCGTGGCGGGTGCAGCGCGAGCTCGGGCGTGGTGGACTACTGGAAGCTGCCCAAGTTCCAAGACTGCTCCAGCAGTGGCAGCAGCAGCAGCGCGCCGAGGAAGGGCAACGAGGGCTGGTGTGCGGGGGGGGGTTAATGTGAAGGAGTGCTGCAGCAAGTGCCGGAGCACCAACGCCACCAGCGACGGCAAGCCCTTCAACTGCCGCCACTGGGTGCACATCCCGTGAGTCCCCCCTCCCTCACATCCCGTGAGTCCCCCCTCCCTCACATCCCGTGAGTCCCCCTCCCTCACATCCCGTGAGTCCCCCCTCACATCCCGTGAGTCCCCCTCCCTCACATCCCGTGAGTCCCCCTCCCTCACATCCCGTGAGTCCTCCCTCCCTCACATCCACGCCTTCCGTTTCCACTTTTGGGGGTGCACATTTCCATTTCGCTTTTTGCAAGTGCAATCTGTGGCTACCTCTTTGTACAGCAGTCATTGTTCCTCCCCCCTCCTCATCTCTACCCCTTCTCCAATCTTTCTCCCCTCCATTCCAGGTCAGCCAGCTCCCGCCACGGCAGCAGCAGCAGCAGCAGCAGCAGGCAGTGCGGCAAGTGCATCCTGCTGCCTGCCATCGACGCCCTCACGCCCGTGAAGGCCACCCGGGAGCGGTGCGGCAGCACCAACCACACCAAGGTGCGCGTGGGCAAGCGCTGCCCATACGGCGAGAACGACCCGCACTTTCTGGGTGCGCACGGGACGCGCTTTGACTTCAACGGGCTGCCTGACCGCTCCTTCTGCCTCTACACCGACCGCCACGTGCACCTTAACATGGCCATGCGCGGCTACCTCGACTCCCGGCCCCTCCCTGCTGCTGCTGCCACTGCTGCTGCTGCTGGTTCTGTGGCCGCTGCTGCTGGTTCTGCCACTCCTGCTGCTGCCACTTCTGCCAGTGCTGCATCTTCTGCTAATGTGCTGGCTGCTGCTCGTTTCGTCAACGGCTCGGCTGTCCGCACGTGGATCCGCCAGCTGGCAATCATGTGGCACGATGGTGAGGGCAGCAGCAGCAGCACGAATGCTTCTACCTCTTCTCACTCTCTCGTGCTCACAGCACGTGACGGCAAGCAGCAGACTCGTGGCTCAGAAGGCTTTCTTGCCTCGGCTACTCTCGACAATGTGCCTCTCCCTCGCTTGACCCTTGGCCAGAGCCACATTCTTTCCAACGGGCGGCTGAATCTGTCCTTTGTGGGCCAGGAGAAGACCGGCCCGTACGACGTGGACGTGTACTCGCTCCGCCTGGACAATCTCCTGGAGCTCGACCTGAAGCTGCGCGCCGCCCACCCTCTGTTGCAAACACCTGAGGACGCCCAGGTGCACATCAACGTGATGTTTGTGGACTCGAACCCAAGCGGGCAGGTGCACGGGTGATGGGGCAGACATTCCGCAGCGGCAGGGAGAGGAGAACCATGGAGTATTCGAGGCTCTCTGCCTTGCTGCACCACCCAGTGTCGGTGGACGGGGAGGAGGGGAGGGGGTTTCTGGATGGGGAGGCAGCGGACTATGAGACGACTGGAGTTACGGCTGCTGACTGCAAGTTCACTGCTTTCAACGGGGGACAGCTGCCCCTGCTGGTGGAGTAGAAAGGAGGGGAGGGGGGAAGAAGGGAGGGGGTGAGCATGAATCGAGTGGAGATGGAGATCCATGAATGGTACCAAGGTGGGCAAGAAACATGGCAAGCAGCTAACAGCGGCAAGTGTGGCTGATGGCCTTGGAGTCAACTGCTTCACACCATCCTCGCAACACAAGTGCACTCCAGCAGCCCCACAAGCTAGTGCCTGGTTGGTTTCGCCTGGAGCAACTGTTGGAGTCAACCAAATCGGCCTATAGGAGTCTATCAATCTCTGTTTGTGTACTCTTGTAAATTTGTAATTTACTACTGTTTCCCGCGATGCTATTGCTAGCGTAGCCATCCTCATGTGCCAGCCGGTTGACGAGCACTCCCATTTTGTGGGTGCTGCGTCAACACGCGCACTCTGGCTGGCTATCCTTGCTAGGTACTCCACCCCATCATCTGCCACTCTTGGTCGTCTCCTCCCCCCTTCTTCAACCCTGACCTGACGTCCTTCTCCACTGTAGCAGACTTAGTCGAGCACCTGCGCTCCCTCTTCACCACTATCTATTTCCTTGTCACCCGCCTCCACTGACCGCCTAGCCCCTGCCCGCGACGCGCTCCTCGTTCGTCACCCTTCTGAGCTCGCCCTTGACCTCTTCTCCACCTCCCTGACAGAGGTAGAGGACCGCCTCCGCGCCATCGCTGGTTCCACTGGCGCGACGGCAGTCCCTATCTTTCAGGGCAGCACTCCCTCCCAAGTGACAGTCCTTGCCTTCGCCTTTGTTGCTGAGACCGCGGCAGCTACCTCTTCCCCGGTTGCTCCTCTAGCGGCAAGGGCAAGGGGGGAGCAAGGGTCCTCGGGGGTCGGCAGTAGCGGGTGGAGGGGGTGTGGGTGCGGAAGGAGAGGGTGGTCAGTCAGAGTCGGGGACTGCGCAGCGGCCGCAGCAGCAGGAGCATCCGCACCCGAGACACCTCGGCCGCCTTCTCCCTGCCTCCGCAGCAGCAGCCGTCGCCACAGCAGACTCAGCGGTCGCAGTAGCAGCAGCAGCAGCAGCAGGGAGCAGTGGGCTCTGGGGGTGCCGGTTCTGGGGTGCTAGTGTTGGCGGTATTGGTGTTGGGGCTACTGGTGTTGGTGAAGTTGGTGTTGGGGGTGCTGGTTGCGGGTGCGAGTTCTGGGGGTGATGACTCTGGGGGTGCTGGTTCTGTGGGTGGTGCGTCCGAGGGTGCTCATCTTGGGGGTGCTGTCTCGGGGAGTGCCGGTGGCAGCCGCGGTGCCGCTGGAGGTCCTGGAGAGGACAGGGAGCAGTTGCAGCCGCAGCGGCAGCCGCAGCAACAGCAGTAGCAGGCACAGCCGCTGCAGCAAGCGCAACCGCCGCAGCAGGAGCAGCCGTAGTCTGGCCTTCGTCTCCTTGGTCTTGCTCCAGGTTCCCCTGTTCGCCCGCCTGTTCTCCCTACGATGCGTGCCCCTGTTTACGGCCCGCTGTTCCCTCCTCCGGACTCCCTCCGGCTCATTTTCCCCGCGCTCCCCTCTGTCCCCAGACTTGTCCCCCGTTCCCCCTCGTCTCCAGTCCCCAGTTTTTCCCCACTGGGTCCGTCGCCCTTTCTGGTGCTCGTCCTGTCTCTCTTCGTCCTAGTGTCCACCCTATGGTTCTTCGTTCGTGTGCTCCTCCAGTCACAGTCCTCCCGTTGCCTCCCCCGTTGTCTCTTCCGTTGTTCCCCCCTCCTTGCTTCAACGCTGCTCTCGCTGCTCGTCTTACCCTCTCGCGCTTGCTTGCGTCGCTTGTCACTCATGCCACTGCTCCTCCTGAGACTATCTCTGCGCTTGTCGCTGCTATCGCTGACTTCGCCGCTAGCCACCGCCTTGACTACGCTGCCGTTCTGGTCTCTGGTACTGCCCGCCCTCCGTCCGTCGGTGGTGCACCTGCCCTTGGCTGTGACGTGCTAGAGGATAGGCAGTAAGAGTTAGCCTACTTTGCTGCCGTTGTTCCACATCTTTGCTCCATGCTTGTATCCCCAGAGGGCGACCCAGATGCTCTCGACATCCCTGTTCCGTGCTCTTACGCTGAGGCGGTGTCGGGACCCTGGGCAGCCCAGTGGATACAGACCACGAAGGCAAAAATGGCATCCTACAGATCCACAGGCACTTACGTCGACGAAGTTCCCCCCCATGGACGAACGTAGCCGATGGCATGAGGATCTACAGGGTGCGCCACTCTTGCTGAGCTGCAGTTCTTTCCATCCTCTGCTGACCCTTGTCTCTTTGTTCGCACAGGTCAGACACCGTTCTACATTCTAGTGTACGTAGACGATCTTATCTTTGCTACTCCTAACAGAGTCGCACTGGCCTCAGTGAAGGCCGATTTACTTAGGAGACACACCTGTACAGACTTGGGGGAGCCGAGGCACTATCTGAGCTTGGAGATCTCTTGGACCGTGCTGCTCGCACGATCACACTCTCCCAGTCCCATATGGTGCAGCAGATCCTCCATAGGTTCAGTCTCCAGTTCTCTTCAGCATAGCCCACCCCTCTGCCTGTGGATCACAACCTCTCTGTTCCTGTTCCGGCTGAGCCGGTCGAGGCTAGTGGTCCATACGCAGAGCTTGTGGGGTGTCTTATGTACCTGATGACCTACACTCGACCAGATCTAGCATACCCTCTCAGTCTATTGGCTCGCTTTGTTGCGACAGGCCAGTCCACTGGTCAGTTGCCAAGAGGGTACTGTTGAAATAAGCTAGGTAACTAGGGAAGAAGCCATGGAATGGCGTGAGGTTTAGGAAGGAGAAAATGTCGATAAAAGAGAGAGTCTTTGAAAAGAAGAGAGAGGGATACAAGAAGGAGGGTTGTACCCTCTACAGTAGGATCCAGTAACACCTACCAAGCCCCTAGGCTTGGTAGTCGAAAGCCCACCACACACATAGCACACTAAGCTACACACCCCCTAAGCCTAGCACCCCCATACTCCGGAGCAGCGACAGCTTCTCCAGCAGGGTCAGCCCCTCGGTGCGTGAGGGCGGCGACGTCGACAGCGAGAGCAGCGGCTGCAACGGCGGTGCCGCGGCAGCGTCGATAGCGACGGCGGCGGCGGCGTGGCCAGCGGCACCAGTTGCGACGGCGGCGGCTTCAATGACAGCTGCCGGCGGCGGCAGAGCTCGCAGTACTCGGCGGCATGGCCGGGCTCCGCGACGGTGGGATGGCTGGCGCGAGTCAGCCGCCGGCTGCGGTGAGGAAGAGGGGACGCAGGGGAAGGGGGCGGGGCTTCAGCAGTGGAGCCCGGGAGCGTGCCGCCCGTGTGGCGCGCTGGCTGCATGCGGGCGTGCTGGCCAGCGCTAAGACGGGGCGCTGGCCGCTGCCGTCCGTGCCGTGCCGCGCGCGCTGGCGTGACGTCGCCACGGCAGCACGACGACGCTGTCACGCCGCCATGGCGTTACGTCGACGCCATAACAGCGCGACGCCACGGCAGCGCGTTGAGACGGCCGCGACAGTACGACGCGCCGCGGCCGGCGCCCGACAACGTCGCTGCTGCAGCACGACGCGGCGGCCATGGCAGTGAGAGAGAGAAAGAGAGATATGAGGAGTGCGCGGCGGAAGGGTGATAAGCAAGCCCAGGAAGAGCAACCTGCTCTGAAACCATGTCAAAGCTAGCTAGGTAGAAAGAGACGCCATGAATGGCGAGAGGTTTTAGGTGCTAGAAAAATGTCGAGAGAAGAGAGAGTCTTTGAAAAGAAGAGAGAGGGATACAAGAAGGGGGATCCAGTAGCACCTACCAAGCCTACCATTATATATATCAAATATATAATTTAACACGTACTGCGGTATTTGGCAAGTACATTAGGACCGGGGCTTGTGCTAGGAGGACGGGAGCCAGTGGTGCTCACTGGACACACAGACGCGTCGTGGGCTGACGACGTGGAGATGCTCAGGTCGTCTCAGGGCTACTGTTTTAGTCTTGGTGCTGGTGCAGTCTCTTGGAGGTCCACCAGGTCATCGTCTGTAGCTCAGTTTTGTTGTGAGGCTGAGATCTACGCTGGGGCTATGGCTGCTCAAGAGCTCCGCTTGCTGACGTTCTTGCTCACTGACTTAGGTGCAGCCTCGGTCTGCCCCGGTCCTGTTTGCTGACAACATGGTCATGATCCTTCTATGTCAGGAGGCTCGACTTGAGGGTAGGGCGAAGCACATCCAGCTGCAGTACTTCTTGCTGCGTGAGTTGCAGCAGCTCGACCAGGCTCGAGTGGGTACAATTGGCCTCGGAGGCCAACGCCGCTGATATCTTCACCAAGGCACTTACGCCTCGTGACCATCACGGTTCTGTACTCAGCTGGTCTCGTCTCCGTAGCATCACCACTCCTTGTATCCTGGGTCATACTATACTTGCTTGTACGTGTTGTTCTATACATGCTTTTCTTGCTACACTTGTTGACTGGCCTTGTGGCCTCTTGTCTCACTGGTCAGACTAGTAGTGCTACCCTGGCTTGCCTTGTTGCCCTCACCAGAGGTCAAACAACGCTGCCCAGGTGTATTCTGCCTTTTTAATGAACTGCCAATGTCTAGGCTATGGGGTGTGTCAACAAATATATTTTACACTGGCGGAAAGTATTGCCCGGATAATTGCATGAAAATGTTTACGTACTTTTTTGGTGCCATTTTTGTATATTTACGATTCATATTTCGGCCTCGGCTGTAAAGTAGTTCTGTGTTGTGTGTAACAGGTATGGGTTTCAGATTTATAGGGGTCGATTTTTTAAAGGGGACGAGATCTAGTTCGCGTAGGTGCATTCGGACAGTTAATGCCAAGCGGCGTACTAGATCTATATCCTACTCCCTCATTCTACTTTCTTGCCCTCGCGACTTTGGAGTAGTCAGGTGATAGGCTAGGACCGCTGCTATGATTAGGCCATCATGAAGCCGTTAGATGAGGCGCTCTACGCACGGGTCATTACCTTGTTGCGGAGGGGGTATAGCACTAGTCGAATCGCTAAACAGCTAGGCATAGGGAAGAGTTCGTTCCATCAAGGCGATTGTAGAGTCTTGCCGCGATGATGTGCGTCCTACGATGCCCTCAGCCGGTCGTCCTCGCTTAGTGACACAGAGAGTCCGGCCTGACATACAGTAGTTCGGTCGATTACCAGCGAGGAGGCAAAAATCTCCGCTCACGTGGCGATGTTCGTCGAGAAGCAGCACGGCATCACGTTGCATCCTAAGACAGTGCGTAACGCTTTGAATGGCAGCAAAATTGTCGCAATCAACCATCCCACGAAGCCGCGACACTCTCGGAAAAACATACATGATAGGCTAGAATG